GTCTGTACATCTGGGCATAGTGCTTAGATTATCCACAAATGCAGAGTGTTTTTAAAAGTCATATGATACATAGCGTACATAGGAGTAACAGCGTACAGCAACATTCCACAACAATTTAGGGGGAAAAAGTGAAGAGAAATACAGCGTGTCATTAAAGCTCTCCCTCTGGTCTTGTCTGCATTGGAGAAAGCAACACTGAAATTGACCTTGCATCTACACTGGGGAGGCAACAATTGGTGCAATTTAACACAGAAATGTGTTGCGGATAAACCCTGCTTTCAAGTGATTGTGTGCTAGTCGTCATTGGAAAACCTCCTCCTAGGTCAAAGAGGACAGCCTATACGTTTATTGGTTTAGGGCAGCCCTAGTGTGGATGCAAAGGCAAATCTTAAACCAACTGAAGGTGGCCTGGAACTTGATTCAATGCAACATAATCAGCTGAAGCACAACAGATTAATCCACACAATCTGGTGGTAGATAAACCCTGAGAAACTGACGGGTTTTTAATAAAGAATGACAAAATCTAAACATCTTGCAAAAGGTATGAGAAAGAAAGAAAAGAAACTCTCCAGAGCCCGGAGTGTAAACCTAGAGTATTGCTACGGATAATCAATTCAAGTTTGTGCATTCATTCACAATCATGTATTCCCTATTCACCCACTGCTCACATCCATCCTCATTCCATACACCACTGCACATGAACCATGACTGGATGCAGCAGACAGAACTTGGCTGAGCTACAAGAAAAGATGTGACCTTTCTGCTGATGTGGTTTTATCATTTGTCTTTTTCATCTCAGTAATAACACTTGTCAATCCAAACTAAATTACTTTCCAAGTTTCCGTATAAACTCTTAGCCAAACAAATCAGCTTTACAACTCAGATTCAATCCACCCTTTCAGTTACAAAAAGAAAAGAAAAAACCCCAAAACAAAAAGGCTACTAAGGCAAATGAGCAGCAGGAGATTGCTCCAGACAAAACAGCCGATTGAAATATTTAAATGACAAAATAAAAACATTTAGCAAAAAGCAGACGAGCAACATGTCACAGCTAGTTCATACATGAGCAAAGCTCATTAGTAATGTTATGTATACCATTGTTAGGAAAATCTCTCATTCATTAATAATTTCACAGAGATGGACAGATAATGTGCACATTGTGTGTGTATATTATTTTACTGTATTGAACTGGATATTCTTTGGGACTATGAATTGTTTAAATGTATAAATCAAAAATAATTGTATACATGTGCATAGTTTAATAAAAACATTTTCCAGAAGTAAACAAAGGCATTGCACTATGGTAACATTTAAAATGCATCTACTCATTAAAATCTTAGTTCTAAAAGATTAACAATCATAAGCAACATAATATGTATTTCACTAATAAATATTAGTTAAAGAAACTAGCAGCACATCTTGAAAATCTATCTGTAAAATTTCTTTTCACGAGACAAAGCCACACCAAAAATAATAAAATAAGCACAAAGAATGTTTTCCTATATGATTTCAGAACATTTAATTACCTGGAAAAAGAATTCTGGGAAAATTAATAAAAAGAGTAAAAAGAATACCAGATATTTAGTAAATAACCTTTAAGATTACACAAATTTGTACAGCATATCTGTTTCATGGGGCAGATTTGACTTCCCAAACTTTGCATGTTCCCTCTTACCTGTGATCAATACAGCTTTGTTGTCCACAGGTAACATTGTTTGAACTGATAAGTAAATGTAACAGATGAGACATGCCATGGAGAACAGGATTAAGCCTACATAACTTTTCAGCGTGGCAAAACAGAGTATTCCCAATAAAAGCAGCAGGAGGAGACCACGGGCAAATATACACTTTTTCTCCACCTGGTTCTTCTTGGTTTTGTAAAAGGTGATTATTCCAAATGCTGCAGTCATACTCAAGCAGAGCAAGACAGAAGGGTCAGCTATAGAGATGTAAGTGTCCATTCTCCTAGAGAGAAGGCAGACACTCATGCACTAACAGACAACAGCCTAGCAAGGTGTTGCTAAAGGCAGAGTGAGTTTTATATGAACTGGCTGAGGGGGTGGGGCAGGGAAAGGGGAATTGGTTTAAGATCCTGAAGTAAGAAAGAAATATTGCAAAATGTAAGACTGGTTTATCTGAATCACTTCAGGAACAGGTATAAATACTAGAACACTTCCCCTTCTCACCTCTTATTTTTATTGCCTTTCAGCTCCACCCGATACACTGGTTGGATAATGATTGACAGAGTCAGGAATGGACATGAAGTAGCAAGCCCTAGCCTAGGGCATAATGTAACTTTGACATGTCTGACACACTTAAATGGAGTTTCACTAAATAGAAAAAGTATTTCTACTATAGTTAAAAACAGGAGGGTCCTTCCTATGAATTTGGGGGCCTGACTTCAGTGGATTTTATTTCTGATTTACACCGGCATATGTTGAGAATCAGGCCTGCAGTGTTTACTCTTTCTAGTTCAAAATACATAGCTGTCATTGCACTAATGTTACCTTCATATTTTCTATGTTCCCATCATGCTATCATCACCCACTTTATCTCAAGGAAACACCAAAGCTAAACAAGATTGCCTTTCCTGGATTTAATGTGTTCCTTTGGATATTGACACATTCCGTACCCGTATTCATATGATCAATGTGTTTTTGGTTGATTGAAATTGGAGAGCGTTTGCCTCATGTTTCTGAGAATATGATTCCAAATGAGCACTAGTCAACTAACTTCAGACCAAATCTTGGACTGAACTTTAAAGGTTATGTTAAGCAAGTTTTGGCAGGTGCATGCTGTTCAAAATTGTGTCCAGCAACATGAAGCTGTCATACAGTCAATAAATTAGATGAGAAATATTTAACATCTACGCTGGGGTACTTTGAAGGTCTTTTTAAATTAAAAAAAAAAGTGTAGGCTAAAACAGAATTAGCTAAAATGACTGAAACATCACTTAAACCTGTATCTAAGTACTAACACTTTTAAAATCATATTGGTCAATCGTGTTATAAACAGGGATTACCCCAAGGACCTGCTAACATGGTTTGAAAGGTGTTAAATTTGTGTCTACTACAAGTGCTAAGTGGTGTTTCAATCTTTTAGTTAATTTGATTTTAAGATGTACCTTTTTTTCTAGTCTAGACAGAGTCTGAGAGATTACTGGGTATTAAAGTACAGCTTGGTGGCATGTGAATCCAACAAAAGATACAAATTTTTCTCCATTCATGACTTTAGTTTTAGGAAATAATATTTCTATTTGTCATAAATTCTTTTAAAAGCTAATAAAAATTTTTATGTATGGCTATTATCTAGTGTATGTTTCAGATGAGGTCACTTTTCCTTAGAAGACCATGAAGAGTCTTTATGGACAGAGCTTGAATCTCTTATTTTTGTTCTTCTGGGAGATTAATGTCCAAGTGGGTTCTGAGGATATGGAAATCTTTAATCTTCCCTCCTACTGAGTAAATGGGGTTTACTCACCTTCACTTCCCCTTTGCTATTTTAAGGACAATTTTAAACAGATTTTGGATGGAGTTTTGAATGGTAGAGGTGGTGATGATTTGGAGGGTCATTTTAAAGCTCTCCTAGAGGGGCCATGGGATTGATTAATATCACAGTTGCAATTTTAAACTGGTCTTGTTTCTCAGGTGCTGTAGTGGTTTTTAAACTGGACTCCTTCTAAGTAAATTTCTGCCCTCTGGCTACTTTTTCCCCAGACGAATTTTGGCCAATTACATGTAAACTCCCGATTTTTTAAGCTATAAATTTGAAGCAAATTGAGAGGAATCCATTAATTGTCTAAAATCAGAGAGAACTTGTATCCAGCGATTTGTTAGTTTTGAAAAACCAGCTTTTGGACCTTAGTGATCCATCACAAGCCCCCCCCCCGAGTATTGACTGAGATTATTTAAAAAAAAATACAGGATAATCTGACCACCTAAAAGAGAGATAATGGTTCCCCTAATCCTATTTTATATATTCCTTAGGAGGGAATATAAAAAAAATTCTGAATTAGAAAAAGTTGGATAATCAAAGAGCCCTTTGAAGGAATTTGAACTTGTGGCCAAAGGAAAAAATTCATCTGTATTTTGGACATTGGTGGCAACTACCTATGATACATGTAACTAGCTATGATTATTGTAACTAAAGAAGCCCTTATCTTCAAACATGCTTGGGAGAGATATTTTTTTGCCTTTCATGATACCCCATTTATCAACCATATGGTACAGTCTAACTTCATAGACCCCACCTGTTGTCCCTTTCCAGAAAGACCCCAAGGCAAGTTAGAGTTTTGAGAAACCAACCACAACATAATAAAACTCCTTGGGATTTTACCTCCACAGAAGTTTATGGGGACAATTTTGATCGGTGGGCCTCATTGCTAACAAAATTATTTACTAATATAAATAATACAGGAATTTTTCCACCAGGTTGGTCTACCAGTATTATTGTTTTTCTTTATAAAAAAAGGCAATAAATGATCCTGGGAATTATTGACCAATTAGCCTCTTAGATATGGGTTTTTAAATCTATATCTGGGGAGATTAGAGGATTGGGTGAAGAACTATAATTTATTTGCAAAGGAACAAGCCAATGTCAGGAATGGCCACTCTACCATTGATAACTCTTTTGGTCTTTTTCTCATTTGATTCATAAATATTGCTCCACAGTGGAGATAAAATTTTAACAGCTGTTGCTGACCTGAAATTGCCTTTTGACTCCATTGACAGAGGTCACCTCAGGGAGCAACTTGTGAGGACTGGGCTAGATTTGGGGCACGGGTCACTTGCAAGTTTAAACTAGTGTGAATGGTGGATTCCCTGTAACTTGATTTGAGGACTTTTTTTTAAACCATGATTTGAGGACTTCAGTAACTCAGCCAACGGTTAGGGGTCTATAGAAGTGGGTGAGTAAGGTTCTGTGGCCTGCGATGTGCAGGAGATCAGACTAGATCAGGGGTCGGCAACGTTTGGCACGAGGCTTGCCAGGGTAAGCACCCTGGCGGGTTGGGCCAGTTTATTTACCTGCTGACGCGGCAGGTTCGGCCGATCGCGGGCCCCCACTCGCCGCGGTTCGCCGTCCCGGGCCAATGGGGGCGGCGAGAAGCGGCGCAGACGAGGGATGTGCTGGCTGCGGCTTCCCGCTGCCCCCATTGGCCCGGGACGGCGAACCGCGGCGAGTGGGGGCCCGCGATCGGCCGAACCTGCCGTGTCAGCAGGTAAATAAACTGGCCCGGCCCGCCAAGGTGCTTACCCTGGCGAGCCGCGTGCCAAACGTTGCCAACCCCTGGACTAGATGATCATGATGGTCCATTCTGACCTTAAAGTCTATGAGTCTAGAACATGGGCTACTTTTCGGAACCCTTCATAGCCAAAGGGTAGCTGTTAGAATAGAGGGGCAAGGTAAGCTAACTGACCCTATTTCCACCTCCAAGAATGTCCATCAGGGTTGTTTATTAGCACATTTCCACTTAAAATTTTACAGGCTGTGATGGTTTTAGAAGGGATGCAGCATTTTCCTTTCAAAATTGTGAACTGGTGTGTATTGGTCCCTCTTTATGTACACAACATGGTTTTGCTGTCCCAAACTCCTCTGGGCTTGAAGCATATGTTAAAGGATTTTGGTTCTTTTTGCCAGGAATCCTTGTCCACAAATTACCAGAAAACTAAAGTAATTTCCTTTGACCGCAAAGCAAGGCTGCACAGATGGATGACTGATGCTCCACTAAATTTTAATAGGTCATGTTTTTCCCCTATGTTTGTTTTACATATAATAGCCAACAGGATAAACATCTGGAGGAAGTAATAAAAGAAAGTGTTAAGTTCTAGACAAGCAGATCCTGGGGGGCAATTTAATCACTCTTTCCTCTTAGACGGTTCAAGGCTACACTTCATGACCAAATATTACGTGGTGTGGAAATCTGGGGCTGGAAAACACGTAAGGGTCTTAGAAGTTGAGCAAAACCAGTTTTTAAGGAGAATGCTCAGCCTCTCTAATTTCACACCAGCTGCTCTACTTAGAGTACAGGTAGGGGGATGTGCTATTTCGAGTAAAGCTCAGTGAATTTATATTAATTCTTGGCTGTGTATTCAGCTTATGAAACCATAGCATCTTCCAAGGCAATATCTGAAGGAACAATTTAACAAAACACATACAAAAGGCAGAGAAACTTTAGGGTAAGCCCCCGCTTCTCTCTATCTTTAGACTTCTTGGAACTTGACCTGGCAACACCTGGACAAAGTGTGAAGTCTTTAATCATGTTTAGAGCAGAATCTATTTACAAACAATTGGATATGGAAGATATTCCTACAACAAATATTCCCTTGGCTTTCTGATTTAAAACAATATTCAGTTCTGAGAACTATTTGGACATTTTTAACAATAACATTTTAAGGAGAACTTTTGCATTTCTCTATTTTCAAGCTATGATAGATACATTCATGAAGGATAGGTCCATCAGTGACTATTAGCCAGGATAGGCAGGGATGGTATCCGTAGCCTCTGTTTGCCAAAAGCTGGGAATGGGTGACAGAGGATTGATCACTTGATGATTACCTCTTCTATTCATTCCATCAGAAAACAGGATACTGGGCTAGATGGACCTTTGGTCTGACCCAGTATGGCCATTTTTATGTTCTTATGCGCTCAGCCTATCTGAAAGGGAGCTACTGTATGCTGGTATTGAGAGACAATCATCTTTTCCTGTGTAGGTGCGGCCAGATCAAAGATGTAGCACACTATCAACTTTGCTGTAACCTGTACTGTCACCTAAGAAATAAATGCTTAGCCCCATTTCTGGCTCAAATGTCTTTTACCACACAAGCTAAAAAACAAAAATACTTGTTATGTAGTGAAAATATCTTAATTATATGGGCTGACGCGCTATTTGCCTGGTTGGCCACAAAAACAAGTACAAGTGAAAGAGAGGTTCCTTGTGCTCTAGATGAAATTATGTATTTTTAACTCGTTAGTTTATTTTCGTAGACTG